TGTGGTTCAGCGTGACTCTGCAAGCCCTGGTATGAACTGGGCCATGGGGGACACAAACCTACACAAGGAACTATATTACAAACCTGTAGAGCATCAGAACGCAAAAGAATTAACAATTTAGATATGTGCCTAACTTTTTCATTAATATTAGCGGGAACACTAAATTGCAACTTCAGCTAAAGAAATAATGATTAATATTTCTTCCCTCATTCTACAAACACTTGTCTAGAATAGTCTAATGCAGGGGTGTCAAACTCGACTTCATTGAGGGCCACATCAGGGTTGTGCTTTATTTTCTTGCTTGGTAATATGCTCCCCTGAAATCAGAAAACTCTTTCTGATCAAATAGATTCTGCATATTAACCTACTATAATTTCTAACTAAATTTGGCATTGGTAGATACCCGGGCCTGGAGTTCAACGCAGTACATCCAAGTTTTGAGGTTGCTAAGCACTCTGAATATTTATTGCCCAATTCTAATATTTAAAAAAAGCCCAAGCTGTCATCACTTCCCACCTCTGACTTCGGTAAACTTAAGTACCAGGTTATGGATTTGTAAAGGACAGCTGTTTAATTTTATTCAAGAGAAACTCTGATTTAGCCTTGGATTTATAGAAACTTCTATATCGTCAGGCTACTGTACCGTCTAGTAGAGAATTAGTTCTGGAAGAGTGGAAAACTTTTTGTTCTTTTATTGGGGAGGAAGGATTCAACACTGTCAATCTAATAGATATAGGAACAAATTAGGGAAAACTTAAGACGTCATTTGCATTAACTTAAATGTTCCGATATTCCATAGTCGCAGATCGTCCAGATGAGACTTTCCCCACCCCCCACTCTCCTATCTCCCCACCCTCCGGCATGGAAACTTGTTTCCAAGTCTGATATAAGGACATCGGCCTAGGCGGGCTGGCGAGTTCAAAAGCAAACAGTCCCTTCGGGTTCGAGAGAACAGTAGGTGCCCGACGGCCGGAGAAGGGAAAACGAGCGAGTCAGCAGCCGGTTCGGAGCTCCACTAGCCAGGCCTTCGGGAGCAGAGAGCGCTGGAGGCTCGGCTTGGCGGCGCGCTGCGCTCCCCCGGCTCGATCGAGTGCGCTGCTCTCCGCTGAGCTTGCCTAGGCTGACAATGAATGGCTGCTGCTAGTGCTGCTCGGAGGGCGAGGGGAGCAGAGCCCCTCCGTTGAGCCAGATCTTCCCTCCTCCCCCCCCGCCCTACTTTTGCACAGGTGAGGCCTCCGGGCGCCCCCCCTCTCCCCTTCCGAAAGGTCCCCTAACTCCCCGCCGCTCGCAGCGCGGAGCCCTCCCGGTCTGGTCCCCCTCCTCCAAACGCAGGGACCCTCCCCCATTATTCCGGGTCTTTAAACTTTTTTCCCTCCCTCTGAAACAGTCCCCCGAACTGGCCGGTCCTCTGCCGGAGGCCGAGGGAGCCCTATCCCGGCCGTAACAGCTGCTCCCGGCGCCCATTTTCCCGCTTGGGAAGAGGCCACCGCTTGCTTGCTCGCTCCCTCCTTCGCCCTCTTTTCTCTGCCCTCCCTTGAGAAGGGCCAGGAGCAGCCCCTTCCTTCTTCCCCGCCACGCCGAGGAGGAGATGGGATGCGGGCGCGGGGAGCAGGCCGGCCGGCCGGCCGGAGTTCTGCGCCGCCGCCGTTGCTTGCCGGGGCTCTAGGCCGCCTGGTTAGCCTCGACCTCCTCCCACCTCCCGTCTCTTCTAAAAGAAGGGGCGCGTTTCGTTCCCGGCCTCACGCGGAGCCCCGTAACGCGGTGGAAGCTAAATTCCCCCTCCTCCCGCGGTTCTCTCCGCCGGCCTGAACGGTGCGGCTTCCCCTCCCAAGTAGGCCCGTCCGAAATCCCCCGGCTTTCCCTAGGAAGGCTTTGTCCTCCTTCCTGCTCGTACCCTTCGCAGCCGCCGGCTGAAGGGGTGCGAAGGGAGCCGAGCGAAAGGAAAACTTTCGGTGGAGCCCGCTTGGCTTTTCTCCAGGAAGGCCCGGCCCGCAGGTTGGCCTGGAAACCGGTGGGGGGGAGGGGAGAGATTCGA